TAATTTGAGCTCACTTTGTTTTCTCAAGTGAGCTCAAGCTCATTAAAATTCAGTCGAGTCGATCTCAATCATCGAGTTCAAATTTAATCAAATATCTTTGAGGTCGAACTCAAATATGCTAGTGTTTGACTTGACTCGATTCGTTGTCGCGTCTAGTCTAATTACACGTGCTCGGAGAGTTACTAGAAATCCATATGTACTAGATTTATGCAACTATATTCTTTGTTAGGGGTGGCAATTCGGATCCAAATCAGGTTGGCGGGTCGGGTTCGGGTCAACCCGGCAGAAAATCTGTTGACCCAAACCCGACCCGCCAACCCCGTGACGGGTTAGGTATGCTGACTCGAACCCGAAAATTTCAGGTTGACGGGTCGACCCGAAATGACCCGAAACTTAATTTTAATTTATTAATTTATCACTGTAATTTCTAATAAAATCAATTTCTCACAAAACTAATTACATAATCAAGTAATAAAAATCTAAATAAATAATTCCAAACCAAATCTAAAATAAATTAAACACCATAAAAGTGTTTTATCCCAAACAAAATATAAAATAAATTAAAACAATATAAAAGTAAAAAATAATATAATATATTATTTGTCCAAATATAATAATTTCAACTTCACACAAATTAAATAAATTCATTTAGGATTAAGTAATTAATGCCTTTGAAAAAAAGAATAATTTAGTTTAGTTAGATATAATTATTTTTATATTTATTAAATTATTTTTAATTCGTAAACGGGTCATATCAGGTCACCACGAGTTGACCCGAAATCGACCTGTTTTCTTTTCGGGTTCATCGGGTCCAACCCGATTCTGACCCGAATTCCCGAAACCTCAACCCAAACCCATTAATTTTGTGATAGGTTCGTGTCGTGTTTTCAGGTCGTGTCGAAAATTGCCACCCCTACTCTTTGTGCATCAATGCATGTATATACATATGCAAAGAGATGCATAGAAATAGATTGCATTACTGTCACAAAAATAATTATTAGAGCCTATAACTTTGGAATATATTATTTGTTTTCTCAAGCATGCATTGGTCTAGCTCTAAATTTCTAATACGGAACAAGGCAAATCCGATCCTGCCGTTTGTTCCACCACAGTTCTAATCATTTCACCTTTTTATAGCATTACAGCTTTCTAATGATAAGCTTTGAGCCATCCAATTATGATCAAATCCAACTAATGTTTTCACTAAAAAGATACACGAGTACTTTAATACTACAATAATTATGGATTACTTACAATTGACTGTGTCATAAAAGATTGAGATGGTGGCTTCGTCGTACGACCTATTCAAAAATTTTTTTTTTTTTTTTTGAAAGCAAAAGAAAGCGTATGAAATGCCTCTTCTCCCATAATTCTTCCCCGAATCGCAAAATGGAGACAACGGAGGCGTCAATTCCATAATCCCCACATAATCATTATTCTTCATATGATAATTAAATACATTATTCGTACATTTGAGATACATTTATGCCCGCCACCCCACCACCAACGATTCCTTTTGATTATCCATCCAATTAAGCACTGGCACTCTATCGCGCCAAATTAGGCCCTATTGGGTGGGTACATCCTATCCTAAGGAAGCACGTAACGTGTACTACTATTCTTCTTCACCGTAATGATTATCAATTTCATACACTAATTCTATTCCGCAAATCCCACATTCATTGATTAACAGCACTAATTTTATACTGAGAGGTGAAATACCTTCATTAAACGTAGTGTTAATATATATATATACATACATACATACATGCATACACACATATAAATGTGTGTATACACCATGAGGGACGCTTAATGTATGAAAATTAAAACAAGCTATTTTATTTTGTAGCATCATGCATGCGTGCCAAAAGAAAGGCATAACACTGCGGTGGAAGTAGATTATTATTTTTTTTAAAAAAAATATTGTAATAATTTTTTGAAATATACCCTCTGTTTGAATTCATTAGTTTTTCAAATACTATAAAAATATTTTAAAAAGTATTTTAAGAGGTACTCTAAAAAGTAATTTAATTTTTTTTAATATTAAAAAAAATATTTCAAAAAATATTTTAAAAACTCTTTTACTCTTAAATATCTCAAAATATACTCTAAAAACTCTATGTTACAGTAAAATTTTTTAAAAACACTTTAAAAAACAGGTAATCCAAACGGAGCGTTGTAACACTTTTTAAGATACCGTCACGGCTTAATTAAGCTCATACCCTTTAAAAGAATCATCCAATTATATGTACAACCCGTCTACCGTAAAAAGAATCGATCCTTTTTTCTGCAAAAGAAAGAAAAGATCAATGAAACACTCTGCTATTGATTTGAGTAACATATAATTTCTTTACGCCGATGACTTCACTTTCAATAGCTAGCTTTATTATCAATCGCCTAAATATGGTAATTAATGGTTTGCGCAAAAGAACTGCTTATTGCAACTAGCAGACGATGGTGGAAGAAGAGTGTTCTCACGTCAAATGAAAAAAGAAGTGTGAGTATGATTAGACGTGTAGATTCCGAGTCTTGCAGGAATAGGGGAATTGGGACTTTGGAATTATTCATGAAATGACTTTTCAGCTGTGGCTCCATGACCAATTGAGCAACAACAGGCTATGGCCTATGGACTGTGTCTTCTAGTCCGTTAGGACAATGGGCGTTTGAGAAAGAATGTGGCATTAGTGGAAATCAAGATCCATAAAAACTAAGCATTGACGTTTTGGATGGGGATCTCATTACATATTATACATACACACGTCATTTTCTATTTAATACCTCCCACCCACCACTCATGTTACATTTTGATGTTGGGTCTATATCCTTCTGATGGTGACCCAAAAGCCATGAAAGCTTAATAGACTTCCCAAGAAAGAGAGAGGGAAAGGGAATTATTTTTGAAAGTAAGATGATATTTTGCACTCCGGATGCATAAGACAAATGTTATGTTCGAGTGCAATTTTGGGAGTATATACAACGTCTGTTTAAGAAAATTGCAGGCTCTTGAGTTTGTTGATACCTTAAGCGCCTAATACAACTTTGAATTGGGCGTCCGTGGATTTTATCCTTTACTGGTACTTTCAAAGTTGAAAGGACAAATAAAATGGAAAATGTGAAGAAGTATTTTCTCTTTTTTTTTTTTCTTTTCTCTTAATAAATATTGGGACAGAAAATGGTATAGAAAGTGGGACAAACGATCTTTGCAGGTGAAAGAATTCTACTTGGAAAATTTTGAAGGTCTTTAGAAATTATAATTTCATTAGTATGTTTTTGGTCAATTTTGAAAAGTAAAATCGTCTTGCATTGTGATGCTTATTTAATTGGTGTAATCAATTCAAATTTTCACACAAATTTTATGAAAATTCCTAAAAGATAGCACTGCCATTATTCTTATTGTACATCTAACTTTTAGAATTTTACAATCAGATCAAGAACTTCTTCAGTAGCATTAAATATATGAAAACTTAAAGGTCTACCGTACACTCACAGTGTATACACTGTGATGATTGGATGAATGCCACATATGCTAAATTTGAATTTCAAATCTCAATTTCATCTATATGATATACTCCCTCCGTCCCACTTTGATAGTCCCATTTTTTTGTCACACAGTTTAAGAAAAAGTAGTTAACTTTGTTGGAAAACTAAATTTAGATTGCTATTTTCCTAAAATACCCTCATATTAAATAGAGTACAACCTTATGGGAACTTGAATTGATGGTAAAAAAAGAATAAACTCTCATTAAATGGGGTAGGTTTATAGTAACAACAACTTACATTGAATAAGGGCATTTTAGGAAATTTAAAATACAACTACATTCTTCAATTAGAAAGTGGATTACAATTTGGGACAGACGAAAAAGGAAAACGGGACTATCAAAGTGGGATGGAGAGAGTACAAGATTTACTCAAATTTAATTACATGCACAACACATATGCATTCCCGCCGGGTTGTGAATGGGTGGGAATTGGTGGGTTTTTAGTCGTCGAACAAAAGCTTTTACGCTTTTCGCCTTGGGCCCATTTAAGGGCCGGAGGGTCCTTAGTAGTCCTCTTTCAGTAGAGATATTCTAATCGTTCCTCGCCTCGTTTTATAAGAACTGTGCCATCAGTAGATGCTGACATTTTGTTTGGATAGAGCCCAATTGACGCACCAATTAAAGTTCCTCTTCGCTTCGTGACACTATTGGCATAGAGAGGCATCATACTCCATATAGGACGCGTTCGTACTTCAAGAAACCATCCTAAGAGACCTCGAAAAGTCAATTTCGAAGAAGGGAAAGTTATAGTACATAACTCGAACTTCAAATTTTTCCTTTTTTATGGAGGAAAGGCATAGGATTTATAAATTGGGAAAGAAAGGAGGAAGGGGATTTATGTCCATAATCTTTAATTTTTAGAGTTTCAATTTTGACCACTTGACCAGCGCTTCCTCGATGAAATTCAATTGATCGATAGATTTTCTTCTAACCAGAGCAAAAAATAAAAAGATTAAGAAAAAAAGCTTGATTATTCACCACTATAACTATTCCATTTCATTCCGCTACGTGGTTCTTAATGAATCATTTAACAGAAGCAATAATCTTTCGCCGGAAATATGACACCTTCCAGTGAAGTCAGATGAATGAAAGTGAAATGTTTTGCCTGGTAGCTTGCATGTCCCATGAATTGGGGGAGGTTTTCAGATTTTAATCAAGGTAGACAAGTAATCCACGGGGACACGTAGTTGGTGCACATGTCGGCCGGATTCTGATGAGTACGTACTCTATCTTACCGATGAGCATGTCCAAATTTGTCAGTCACCGTTGATCCTCTCTCTAGCATTCTTATTTGTACATATTGATCCATATCTAAAGAAGGCAATTCTTTTGAACCAATAGGGGAGCATTTGGAAGCTGTTGATGCCTACAAACTGTTCAACTACACCCATAATTGACCATCACTCCTCCTCCTACATTCAATCTTGTAGTGAGCCTTGAGAACTGAAGAATCATGCATTGATAACGCACCAAAAGAATGCGAAATTTCAATTACTACGCACCAAGACTGCTATTTCTTTGTTTTTTCTTGTTAGAAGCCTGCACCAGGTCTTCAAATCGAGGGATTTGGTTAAAATATATCTCCTCACATTTTCTTTATATTTTTGAAATTACCTATCATAACATTTAGAATGAATATAAATACATACACGGCACCAAAGAATGGTATTTACGTGGTACCGAAGAATACTATTACTACACTCGCTATCAAGGTGGAATCTGCAGTTACATATCAGTCACATGATGCAACGGCTAGTGCGACCCTGAGATCATTAGAGGTGCCACATAAATACATCCGATAGGTTTCTATCTCCTGTGGATATCCCCCAGCATAGCTGCCAGCATAATAACCTCCGCTAACATGATCACGCTTGGAAAATATTATTTCCCTCAAAATTGGTTCATGGCCATTGAGAAGATTTCCCAGGCTTAATACCTTCCTCCAAGACTGATTGGCAGTTGGCGGAGTAAACATGCTTGCGACCACTTCCTTCTCCCGTGCCATTATTTGTTGCTTCTTAGTGAACTCCTGCGACTACATGATGGCAAAATTCAGGATCAGAGATGATGGATAGCATAAAGTAGGAGATAAAGGTAAGGGAAAAAGTAGGAAGGAAGAGGAGCTATAAAGGTTAGTGGGTGTTAGCGCCAGCATTGTGGTAATGCAACTAAGAAAGTTTGATACTACCAAGGACTGCACAAAGGCCAATTTGATGGGGCAAATAAGCATAGCTAAGAATCGTTAACTAAAATCTCATATTCAAGAGTAATAGAAGAAGAGAAATAATAAAGGCATATGACCTGAGAGAAGCAATTGCAGTAGTAAATTTTATTCCAAAGACTTGTCTTAGAATTAAACCTGTTTAAAAAGCTTGTGTGGGAAAAGAGAGGCTCCAAAGAAATTTACCTTGTCTATATCATGGCTCCCAGAACCCGTTCCCATTTTTGGAAGGTAAAAGTTGTAGAAGTCACTGAAAATTGCTTCCGATAGCCGTGGTGCTTGCAAGAACTTACGATGAAGTGAAGCTGCTACGGTCAGTAACTTCTCAACGTGTTCAAAAATGACACATAGCCTTGTCAGGTCTTCAATAATCTCACTGTCAACAGATAAGCTATTTCCTGCAATAAGTAATGTTAGGACATAGGCTTTGCACATATCAAATTTACTAAAAACAGGCATAGACTTTGCACAGAAACAAGCATACTCTGCAAAGATTTCAATGTAGAAGCCATGGTAAGGTAAAGTTGCCCTAATTTGGATGTCATCAGCTTTAAGCCCCCAAATGCAGTCCGATTTAGTGTGTCAGCTGCTGCTCTAAAAGCAGTACAAACCATTTGTTCCAGTAATTGATGTGGACGCATGGTCTCCAGATAATGAAGAACCTGAGTTCAAGAAAAATGATAGCTTCTCAACAATTAAAGAAATCCTCAACAAATAAAAAAATCACGTTGTCTCAGGAAAGGAGCATCCAAAAAATACAATGCTCTCTCTCATGTTCTGTTGACAAAGAAACAGTTGAGCATCATGATCCTACACCACGAGGTGAAACAAGGAAATTTTCTGTTCTTGTGACAGTCGCACTTGTTCTTTAAAATGGTAACAGCCTCTTGTTTTAGACAAATCTGACTGGTGAAGTGCTAGATGCTTAGGTAAACAAAGAAAACAACTTTCTTGGAGGAGTTACAGGACCTTGGCTTCAAGAGAATCTCCTTATTCACATAAACCTTTCTTTTTCACATATTTATTGCATTTCCAAATAAAACTATGCAAGAGATAACTGCCGTAGCTCTATATTATCCTAGTTGCACTGACATGTGGAAATTAAAAAAACCTTAGTTCAAGCTGAATTGGAGCTCTTGTAGCATAGACAAATATGAACACTACCCAGTAAATGTTGCTTCCAATTGACCAGGCATACAACCAATCATCATGAAATTGCATCATTGAGATTTACGAAATTGAAAAATCAGCTGGGTTCCAGCAAGTCAGAGATGATCAGACTAGTCCACAGAGCAGAAATGTAGTTTTAACACATGCTACATGCATGAAGTATGACATCTGATCATTAATTCAAAGATACCTTTTCCCCTTCTCTGTTTGGATCCAGAAGCGGCTTTTGCTTAAAAGCAGGCAATGAAGGGGCTTCATTCCAAATCTTTCGCCATGAACTCCCATGGTCAGACATTCTCTCTGAAAGTCTTCCTCTAGGAGGCCACTCATTCTTTGAAACTTCACCTGCTTTAGCTTGAGAAACTGCAAGCTTCCCATTATCATCATTTTCCCAATCTCTAGGTGAATGCCATCGGATGAAATCTTCAAAGACAGCATCAGGATTCGCAGCTTTAAATGCTGACATGTCTGGTTCAGATTGTAGAAAGAAATCAACTCAGAAAGTATAAATCCACAAAATGTACCATGACTTCCAATCTATACAGCAGACTCCAAGAATAGGTCATCTAACTTGGCCATTCGTCTCTCACCGTGACTGTAATTTTCATTGCTTCTGATAATGTTCAAGAGTAAGTTACCATTCTGAAGCTATTCAAAAGATCAATTAATTACAGCATGACGGGAAGACATGCCACTTGCTAAAATACTTTAGAAAGAACAAGGATATGAACTTCTTTGCCAACGAGATGTTACTCAAACACCCAGGACAAAACCATTTAAGAATAGCCTCATAGCACCAAATTGTGTGAAGAATGATAACATATAGCACTGGTTGAATGGTAAAATAATGATGAAACACCAACTTTAAATATTCACATGCTGATCAAGAAATTTCAAATCACATAGTGGAAGAGATATAAAGTGCGGTTAACATCACACAGCAGCAATGTATGTACAGGATTATTCCAGCAAATAGAAGCTTATGTTTGTTGTTTTTAAAACAAACCACAACTTGGAAAGAGAACTCGAAGATTGAGATGACATTCTAAGATATCAACTATTCTTTCAGCATTTAAAGTTCCAAAATGCCTCCAAAAATTTTACAACCCACCAAAAGCCAAAATCCTATAGCCACATCACTATATGGAAACACCTAAATGCTTCATAATTCTTTTTACTGTTCACCCTTTTTCCTGCTAGTGAAAAAGTAACCTTGTTTTTCCAAGTGATTGAGAAAATTACCATCTCTCCATATTTTCTTTATTGAGATGCAAAACAATTTGATCAACTGAAGTCCTCAGAAAGCAGAATGAAACTACAGTGTCTTTATTACCTGAAGACAAGATTTCCTTCTCCAGTTGAGCAGAAAAGCTCTGTAATCAAAACGCAACAATGATTTGTTATACAAATATTTTTTTTCTAATTTTACACATTCTTAACCATGCAACAAGAACTTAAGCATATTACAAAAGATGATGTAATTGATTATGAAATAAAGTTTCAGAACTACACAAAATTAGCATAACAGAAACAAGGTTATCGGTGACTTGTTCAACAAAAGTAGAATTGCTTAAAAATCTTCATCGAAGTATATTATTAGGATCTGTAAGTATCAATATTTTCTAAGACATATCAAGTGAATACCATTTACAATATATTATTATCAGCCACAAAATATTGAACATTAGGCAAACAGACTTATTTAGCTTGATATTATTCATGACAGGTAAGACACTGTATATTCAGTTGGAATTTGATTTTTCCCCCTTTCTTCTGTTTAAAAAACGTACATGGACATATCAATTCATAAGAGGACTTCCAGGTACCTATCATCTGTAATCTGTGCCTACAGACAAAGTCAAAAGAGGACAAAGTATCCAAACAACAAATAATAAATGCCATAAGTGTTACCTATCTACTGAAAGTAGAATTCCTATTTCATCCCCATAATGCTAATGATAATTCAAGTTCACACAGAAATTCCATCTCATGCAAGTGCGAGGATAGTTTGAGGAAACAAAGTTCTAAATAAGAGAATTTCAAGCTTACAAATGAATCGCCAAATGCTTCAACTGCTTTGAGTCGTTCTTCATGCATGTCTTCTGTCATAAGAGGTGGATCCTATGATAGCTTCAGCATTAGTATCTACAAGAGAGAAGATGGAAAGTGAAATGCAAATAGGACAAAGAAAACCACTTAAATCAAATAAACCTGGGTGAAGGGAGCATGCATTTGCTGGCATGAATTCAAAAGCATCGTGGACCCCACAACGCCAGCTGATCCCATCCTGATGTATTCTGACAACTTTGTGTCAGTAGGGCTTGCAAAATTCTGTTGCTCAGAATTGGACAAAGATGTAGCAACTCCATGGCTTCCCAAATCATTTCTAGCTGTTAGGCTGCACGATAATTATGAATTACTGGATTAAATTCAGGTGCTGCAAGCAGATCTAAGTGCTGCAAGTATCAGCATCAAAGTTAATCTAAGCTGCATGTGTTGAAAAAGTCGGATCAATTACTCTTTTTCTCACTCTTCAGACAGTATATACATATATTTTTTTTACTTATATTGAAAGAGTGAAAGGGAGCTGAGCAAGCCAAGCAAACAAAAGTGCTATTAAACAATGGAACGGTAAAAGGGAACACCAAAACCAAGGAAACTAAATTGAAAATGCAGAACAACCATAACTAAACATGTCGAGGCGTAACTTATACAAGACTAACACCATATTAGACTGACTAGACAACTTAAAATGTAGTTGCTCTGAGAGACCATTACAGCTAAATCTACGATTCACTTTCATTTGCCAAAAGTAGGACCTAAGACTATATTCATACAGAAGGGCAAACTTTTTAGACTAGTCATCATACTTTATTGGCTCAGCAACCAAAAGAATGAAACATTATCTCTCCTTTGACATATATCTAGCATTTCTTCAAGTCAATGATGTCTAGCATCATATTAATTGAGGGAAATAAACCCAAAACATCAATACAAGAAAGATCTAGAACCTCAAGATTGACAAGCATTTAACAATCTTAAAGACCATGGTGTACAACAAATTTTATGATATCTAGCTCCCTTGCCTATAGTGCAACAATTTCAAAACTATGATTGATGAGTAAGCATGACATTCCTTTCAATTCTTAAACTAATATTCAAAAAGATAGTTGTTAATGCTCTCTATGACGCCCTTACTTTACTTACTAACTCATATTTAAGTCAGCACGCCATTACATCCATTTTACTATGTGCTTATTTGATAATGGATCTATAATCTATGAAACTAAGGAAATGACCAATGTTCCGTTAGCAAGGTATGACTTGATCTCAACAGTTTCTTGCAGACAAGGGAATGCTATCAGGACACTAATAACTTTGAAATACCAGGAGCTTCATGTAGCATGTTTGACTTCTCATTTAATTATATTAGATAAAATATGCATTCCTCATAAAGAGCACATATTGAAAAGTAGAATAAAAATGCTTCGCAGATATGGAAATTGTAACACACCAGAATTTAAGTCTACTTCCATCATCATAAGCATCAATTTAAAAAAATGGCAAATTTACCATGTAACCCAGGGAAAAAAACCCAGCATCCCTAGTGTGTGTCTTTGGCATAACAACAATACCTTCCAACAGAATCATTACAAGACTACAGCAATATTTTTGTTTTGTTTCTTTTTAAAAGGAAAAGTATGATGATGAGCAAAATAATCAAGTATAATAGTTCTAGCAATGGTGAAAAAACTCCAAAACCAAAATTTCGGTGCTTCTAATGTTGAGAAGACAACCAAAAAATGACAAAATTATAAGTAAATGTCCGAAGAACTCTAGTCCTCAACAAGGTCAGCTGGGAAGCCATTAAGATAGGAGTTCCCACTTGGTTTTACCTGTCACGTTCTCCGCTAGAATCCTCAGTCACTTCAAGTAAAGAAGATGACTGTTTAGTAATCTGAGCTTTGCCCTGCATTTCAGTCAGAAAAGAAAGTTAAGAAGCTTGAAGCGGGGTTGCTTTAAAGATGTCAAATGCTTTAGAAATCATGATAAAAAGAAAAAATTAGGGAAACAAGGGAATCATTGTACCTCAATGTAAGGAGAAGTTTTCTTGTCCCCAACATCTGGATGTTCTTTGTTCTCTTGATGCTTCTTCTCAATGCATATTGCAAGCTAATATCATGATTAACAATTTAGTAAGATGATTCAGCAAGGTCTGTTAAGATTATGAAAGGAAGGAGAAAATAAATCCACATGCACTTCACTGTGTCAGAGATCCTTAGGACAATATTACACAGAAGAAGACAATGCTACCATGGTTGCCCATTGGCGGATTAAAATGGAAACAAATTCAAATGGTTATCAAAACCAATCAGATTATAGGGGAAATGATTGGTTATTCCTTATCTGTTTGTAAAGCATCTAAATTAATCGAACCAACCATGTGTAACTTCTGGTAGATCAAACAGGTAGACAGATCAACTGTGCCATTGGTTGGCATTCGTGGCAGTGGCTGTGACTCTTCCCAACACCAACGAATTTCTCGAACAAACTCAATCCAGAGTACAGCAATGGCTAATAGTAAAAACCATCAAAGTACAGTGAAGAAAGAGAGTTAAGATGGAAAGGAATAGAGGAAGACGACAACAACATTTGAAAAGGTTACATCTTAAAAGAACTAATGTGAACACATTATACCACGTATATTGCAGTTGCCAAACCAGAGGGCATGTAAACAAAATTGTGCAAAAAGAGATTCAAGGGGGGCTCCTTTAATAGCTCGAGAGTTCTTATTCTCAGCATCAGCAAAATCAAGTTTTACTTCTGCATCTGCACAATGAACAATTCAAGATAGATATTATAGAAACCTTTAAGTTCATATGCAGACAAATTTAAAGATAAAATTCACACTAGAATAAGCAAAAAATCTACAAACATATAATGGAGGTTCGTTAAACTCCACTGGATGCATATAAAAATAAGACCCGCCAAAATGACAGCAAGTTGTCTTGTTACCCCAGCTTTCTAAGACTAAAGAGAAAAGAAAGAAAAGGTGGATAAAGTCCCTTGTCAAAGACTATAAAATGTAACTTAAATTGTCAAAAAATGGAGTTGAACAATTTTCTTGATTGTTGCTAACCTTGGCCTTCCCAGCCGTTATAGTTAAAAATCATACTTCTCTTCGCTAGCATTCAATTTTTTTTCGCAACATGAATATTTCATATTCAGATAGTGGTTAACCAGTTGAAGGATATATCTCTCAAAAACAATTAAATGTAAAATGAGACAAACCCCATTACCCATTCCTTTTACATGGCTTCACCTCCAACAACTAAATGTAAAATAAAATTGTTTAGCAATCTCTCAAAGGATATATTAAATGAGAGATAGAGAGATAACCATGAAGACCTCAACATAGTGAGTTACCAAAAAAAGCAAGTCAGATTTTGTTAGATCCACCTTAGAATAGCTGTCCCACAAAAATGCTGCTAAAGGCTGGCAAAAAGACAAAAATACATACCCTCATGAAAGAGATCTTTGAGCACACGATCAAGAACTGTGGGCGGAGGTATAACAGCTGAAGACTTCATATTGTCAGAGCCTGAATTTTCAACTGCTAAAAAGTGAAAAAAGAAATTAACTGTATATCTTCAACATTGTCCAGCAAAGTACAGAAAGAAATATGTAAAACATATGTAAATTCAGATGTAAGACATAAATCAATTCCTCCTTCAACATAACTAACAACAGCATATAAGTTTTTGAGACCTGAAACAAAATCCTCCATAAATTGAGCCCCCAAGGACGAATCCAATGCGTTAACCAGTAGGCGCAATTGTGAAGCAAATCCTATGGTGCTTCCATCTGAAGTCTCTCTGCAGAACATATATTTGTTGATAACAAGGTTTTAAGTCAAACTTTAATCCATATCAGTAAAATTTTGATTTCAAAATAGTAGAGTAGCAGAAAAAAGATGATATTGAACCTTTTAAAAGAGACAAATAGAAAGAAGTCCTGTACACTAAACCTAAAATTGTGAAGGGTTCTAATAAGTCTGAGTTAAAAATGAACCAAAATGTTGCAAATGTCATCTATTGTGTAAGTTCTTACAGGTAAGGAGACAAATTTGGAAATATGAACCATTTGTCAGCTTCAAGAGGTGAAGCGTTTTCCAGTTCAGCCATAACTAGAGAAGTATCAACTGTTCTCTCAGACCATATAGTAAGGAGCTCCAGTCCTGTGCACCAAGCAAAATCAGCTTAAATGAGAAAACTAGCTAGAGCAAAAAAGAAAGAAAACTATTCTCTTATGATTTCTGCTCCATATTTTTATTGGAGATTCCCATCGTCTTGAGAAACACAATAACAGTCAAACAATTACTGCAATCACCTACCAAGCGTCCTGGGCCACAAGACAATTGCACATTGCATTCATTTGATCACATAGCAAGTAAATCTGACAGTAGCTGGTAAATATTGACTTGGTTTAGAGTAATTAAATATTCTCAACTTTTAGCACGACGGGCTAAAATTAGCAACAAAATTAAATAAATATTCATAATAGAAGGTTCACCTTTTACAGGATCTTCTGCAGAATACCACTCACTCCAAGGACAATCATCATCCCACTGTATTTTGTTATGAGTCTCAAATTCAGAATGCCTGCCAGATTCCAGGAATTCAGATTCCTGCTGTACTTCAGGGTCATCATCAGTGGGAAGGGTTCTGTAGGTTAGCTTCATCCTAAAATGGACTTTGAAAAGATGCATTGACAAGTCCACAGTTGAATACGCCTTCAAGATGGAGAACACATGGTATATATATAGGTTAAACATCCAAAAACTGATGCTGGAACGTAAGCTTTTGCTAAATACATTAAAAAACAAATGATGCCAATACAGATGATGAAGTCTAAACAGAAAAGGAAGATATCAAACTGAGAGAGAGAGAGAGAGAGATGAAGAAGATGATCAAAGGAAACTTTTGGAATTTATATGGCAGGTGTGTAGAAAGAAGTGGCTCTCTTAGAAGCAAAAATGACGCTTCATGCAACAAAAAATAATAGGATTAAATACCAAAAACCCCCCTGTGGTTTGACTAATGTTCACTTTACCTCCCTATGGTTTGGAAACCTACAATTTGACTCCCCGTCGTTTCAATTAAAGTAAAAGTCTAACGGAAAACATCTAAACTAACGTCTGAAAGGAAAATGTCAAAATTGCCCCTCTATAAGTCAAACGCTTGGAAGAATGTTTCGTGCATTTGAGAATGGGTAAAATACCAAAAAACCCCCTGTGGTTTGCCAAATGTACATTTTACCTCCCTATGGTTTGGAAACCTATAATTTAACTCCCTGTCGTTTCACCTAAAGTGAAAATCTAACAGAAATACCGTTATTGTAGATGTTTTCTGTTAGACTTTCACTTTAGTTGAAACGACAGGGAGTTAAATTGTAGGTTCCAAACCATAGGGAGGTAAAGTGAACATTAGTCAAACCACAAGGGCGTTTTTGGTATTTAACCCAAAATAATATCAAACAATTTGCATGACAAATTTTTGAACAATTTCTTCTTTCTATACAAGAATAGAGAAAGAATAGTAAAAGGGTACAGGAATAGAGAAAGAATAGTAAAAAGAAGATTACAGCCAACGGATCAAAGACAATGAACCATGTATGCCCTTGGGCTGCAACTTCTTAATAAAGCAATAGAAGAACTAACTTCTCATATTAGAAAATACCAGCATAACATCTGACCATAGAAAAACTTACAAATTTAGAAACAAAAAGTTCGTACAAACCCTCCAAATGCATAAGCTTTATTGGGACTTGGCTACCAATGCGGTCTGCCTCAAATCTTCTAGTAAAAATGGTTCCCATATTCTGAATTCCAATGTAAGCTCTACGAGAAGGATCATGTACAGGAACAAATGCTGGCCACAAGCTGCATAAATTTAAGGCAACTGCAACTTTAATGTATAGTCTTATATCAAGCCTTTCACATTATGTTCCTTAATTTGGTTAGCATATGACCAACCATTAAATGCCAACATCAGTGAAACAAACATTAAAAAAAGAAAAGGAAAAAATCATCAACAAACTGAGGAAAGGAATCTTGTACAAGAGGTCAGCAACTAGATTTTGTACCAGGACACCAGCTTGGAGCCTTCTTAAGATTACAGAGGAATATTGCACTATTCTTTTTCAAAGACATTCTTGCACTTGCTCTAGTAATCCACGTCAAAAATATCAGATACTGCATCAAGGAGAATCCTATGTTTAAATTGATTCCTATCTCCAAATTGATAAAGCCAACTAATCTTTCTCTGCTTTAACTGTAAATTTTTCCAATTTTGTGCAATTTTAAGCTACAAAATGTTCATGTAATGGATGGTAGCTTGTCTTATTGGTAATGTTCAAGCAAGTCCTTTACTACTTTTCCGCTAAATCTGACAGCCTACTACAAAGAACAAAGTCAACTACAAGCATAGTCCCAAAACTAGCTCTTCAGTGGCAGTACTTCAACTAAGTCAAAAGAGCAATTTGAAGCTTTAAGGTCCATCTATCCTTAGGTCACAGAATAGTTGTTTTTTTAACCATAATTCTTAGATATGTATGGTTACCCAATTCCAATATTTTCTATAAAGCTTGCATGAGGATTACCCCTTTATCATGTCAGATTATTTCAACAACAACATTCAGATGTAAGCCAAAAAAGCAGGAAAGACTCCATAACATTGTTCGTAATAGTCATAGAAGACAAATAATTTTACAGGAAAAACACCTGGAAGAGTTTGACATAGCTATTGAAACTGCACTTAAGAGCTTGCTAGCCTCTGGTGCATCAAGAACTACACCACTAGCACTTTGAGGAGCAATCACCTGTAGAAAACACAGGGTCAAATGTGAAGCACTTATGTTTAGAGGAAAAAACCAGTAGTTTAGAAACATTACTGGGGGAGAGAGAGAGAGAGAGAGAGAGAGAGACCAGAAAGTCTTTCACCCCAAAAGATTGCTGCAGATCATGCGATGTAGAAATCCAGTCTGCAACTTTTCCTGAAATAATTCCAACTTTAGGAAAAGCTCGAAATAGGTTTTGCTCATGAGCTGAAACTAAACTTCATGGGAAAGTCATAATTCTTACCATCATTAAAGGGTTCAAAATAGTATTCCATGCTGTAGTTCTTCATAGCATATTTCAACTCTGATCTGACCTTATATATGTTCTTGGAGAAATCCAAACAAACTGCATCTTTTTTCTATTATTGAAAGGCAAGAGAAATGGAGGTCCAAAATTATAATGCAATCAGAAAGCCCCTAAATTTGTAATTGAAAAGGATCATATGATTGAATTTAAAAAATGAAAAAGTTTCTATTAGTCATTCTGCAGATAAAGACAGATAAACAAAAATTAGACTGTACCAGCAGAGAGAAAACACTTCCTGAGAACCAAAAACTACTTGTTTCCTAACTCGGACATGGTAACAAGCAAATTAGTAAAAGGATGATTGTTGTAAGTTGAATTGTCCCAAAACATTTAAAATAAACAAAAGAAGACAATAAAAAGAGATTTTCTTTGAGCCTGCAGTATCTTCTTTGAGAATGTGATTTTGCAGCCTAACTCTCTGTCTTGAATAGTTTCCAATGTTTAGCTGATAAATGATAGTTGATCCTCAATATGACAAACATGAGAAATCTCAGTTGATTTGATGATCATGACTAAATTACATCCATGTAATTCATGGGAACAGCTTTGTCAAAAAGGTGATAAGAATCATACCACCAAATTTTTGGGACCAGTAGCCAACCATTGCCGACATACAGCCTCTATTTCAGATATAAACCTGCAACGTTTACCCAAAATTAGTCTAAAACACATCATTTCCAACACATAATTTAAGCTCCAGATAAATGTAAGCAACGAGCAAGATATTAAATTAACAAGAGTTGAAGCAGGTGAAGAGTCGATCACCAATAGCTGATAAAGGCTACCTTTCCCACGAGGAGGCTAGAGTAAAGTCATCAAAATGCTCAATCTGCAGAAATTTAACCAAAGAAAAGTATATATCTCTCTAGCTCAGGGATTCAACAAAATGGGGAAAAAAAATTTTCATAAACGGGCAATGCCTGTAAAGAAGTAATTCATTCTCAGTGTATAGGAAGAAAATTGGTAGTTTAAGTTCAGTTGTGCTCAATATGAATATCGCCAGCCACTAATACTTCAATTTCACAAAATCACAAAAAAAAAATAAAAATACTGCACTACTACATTAAGTAGCAAATTTAACCGTTTGGTTTAATGGTAAGAAAGAAATAGATAAAGAAAGACAGAAAGAAGTGCCTCTTCTTCTTGATCATCGTCATCTTGAATACTGCTCTGACTGTTACTTGTCGACGCCATTGATACGCCTAAGAACGTCAGCTACTGAGGCAGGAAACACCTGAATTCCAGAGATACACCAGTCTGAAATTTTCAATCTGTGCAATATCCAAACTTTGGATATCTTGAAACCAAAGAAGAGAGAAAAATAAGGGTGGGAGGATCTAAAGAGCGCAATGGAGGAGGAACATTCAGCAGGAGGAAATATGAACCGCACCTGAGATTATACGCATCAGAGATCTATTTCGGATGAACTTTTTTCACTCGGACGATGAAAGAGAAAAGAAATTAAACGACGGCGTTTATATTTTCGAGGCGTGGATCGTACGCGGCTGGGTGTAGAATAGACGGGACCTTTTGCGCCACATCATATTTTGAAGTCAAGAATTGTAACTGCCAGCCTCGTTCGTTGTAAATCTTGATCGTCTACTGCCCCCGATTTTTGTTCTTTCCCAAAAGAGATGCTTGTGTAATTCTGCTCATTGCTGTATGCGATCCGCGCTTCCTAACCTGGTTTAATGGTTGCTCTTGGAGCACGCTTAAGTTTATTCCAGATTTTCCGGTCCCTTCCTTCCAAAAAATTAATTTCGTCTATTGTCGTTTTTGACTCAATGGCTAAGAAGACCTTCTTAGAGTCTCTCGTACGCTGAGTTAGAGGTTCCAAAAATTACAAAAAAAAAAAAAAAAGGAAAAGGTATTGTGCTGACTTTGTTTAAAAAATTTAGAAATTGCAATAGCGCTCTTGTGCTCTAACATGCCAGCACTATTTTATAAGTTGTCAATTTGAGAGAGCATTACACTTCTTTTGTTCCCCTCGCTTATAGCACATCAACAGTAGTAGTTTAGTTATCAACTACTTAGTCAATTCTCGTGTAAAGTGTCCTACATTTTTATCATATTATTATTTGGGTGACCAAAACTTTTCTACAAAAATTGCTAAAATTGTAAGACAACAAAAAAAATTGGGTTTTAGCGTTTAAACATAAGAACCGCGATTGTATTTATCTTTATTATAATCTTGCTTCCTTTGAAATAACGGTTGTAGTGGTGATCTTATTGGAACAACACTTGATTCCTTATGTAAATTTTGTTAATAAATGAAATATTTAAGAGTGACTAAATCAATATTGACTCGTCAACTCTTTGAATCGTCAAATTAAATACGAATCATTAAGTTTGTAGGTTCAACTTATAATAAAATTAGAAACCTCCATTTAGCAAATGCCCATTTTTTGCTATGCAATGTTCGTTCGTAATTCAACTTAATAAACTCATAACCTCTAATTGAACTCGACTTTTGCCAAATGTCCATTCTAGCTTGATTCATACTAAAAAATCCCATATTGAGTTCCACCAAGAATAAAATAACAACAAATCTAAGCATAATTTAATATGATTAAGACCATTTTTTTTTAGAGAGAGAGAGGATTGAATTAGATGGCAAGGTAGGACACAAAAAAAAAATGAAGCAGCTCGTTTGTTCTTTGCGCCTTTGCGTGTGGAAGATTTTGGGGCCATTAGTGGACAATATTCATAAGTCATCAAGGCTTTGAGGCTCTATCCAGCTTCCAGCCTTCCACCGATCTACCGCAAGTATCGGTGGGCTGGATCTTCATCTTCCAACCCGACGGATCAACAGCTAGAACGAGGTGGGCCCGTAATGCAAGTTTTAAAGAAAACCAATGGACCCACTTTCGTAAAACTGCCCCATTCTCCAACGACATCGCATAAAATGCTTCTCAAATCTCACACACACATCAATACGAATCATGATGATGATCCCAAAGCATCTCGCGGCCTCCATCATCACACACGTATTCACACACTCCTCGCGGTCCTTCACCGCTCTCTCAATTACTGAAACAACCCACTCCCAGCCCCCTCTCCCCGGGCCCCAAATCGCCTTCTTTTCATTCTCCATTTATACTTGCATGTCAAACGGTACAGAACCATGAAAGCTGAAACTGAGCAACGTTAGTCAGCCATTGCTAGCTAGCTGAAATTAATCCAAACTTTAAACATGGCTGCAGCTTTAGAGTGCTGGTCGAGCCGAGCCAGCACGGACGAGGACATGGTGGAGCAAGTAGTCTTAATGAAAACGCACCACCGATCCGAAGCTTCACCGGAGACCGCAAATTCCGCCACTACAACTGGTGATGGTATTAAAGAATCCTCCGCAATGCAGAAGCGGCTGCAGAGGCTAAGCCGCAACGTGTCTGAAGCCATTGCCTCGCTCAAGAATTCCCTCAACCTCGACTCTGCCCGCCAGCCCGCGTTTTCAGCACAATGGGGTGGACCCGAAAGCTGCCGAAAACAGATTTGGGCAAATGTTGTGCGAAGCTTAACTCAAGTTTATCCATGTAGTCAGCTCCCACAAAAGCTCGTTAACAATATTCGCAAACATTACGATTCTTTACCAATAAGGTACACCAAGCTCAACCAATTCTTATAGTACTATTTGTTTTTCAAGTTTCTTGCATGTTTTCCCAAGATTGTACTCTGAATATCTACGTCATTTGGATGTCCTGTCTCACATCACGTGTTTGGAATTTATGCGATAATTCAAATTAGTATCACATAGACGGAGTTTCCGAGCTATCATTGTAGAACATCGATCGCTCATTGCTTTTGGGATTTTGATTGGTTCCTTTCTTTTCTTTTTCTTTTTTTTTTGTTCTTCTGATTAATCGTGTCATTTTGACATTTAGCTATGCACAAGCTGGATTCGAGATGAAGGATGTATTTCTGCATATGAAATTGATCGAGCAAGCGATAAAGGAGGACCATCCAGCGATAACGATACAAGAAGTGTCTGTTAACGAAGTTAGTGGTTCAGTTGTATTTAAGCTGATATTTGCTTCTAAATCTTCAATTTCATGGCCAGCAATGTCAGGGGCGCTTGATAATGCTTCAATTTGTTGCAAGAAAGTTCAGATATTTGAGAGGAAGGATTTCACTTTGGGAATTGTTATACTTTTGGTTCATTCTGGGCTACAAAAGTTGTTCAAAACGCGGATAGAAAATGCACTCAAATTGTCTCTAAAGAAAGCTAAAGGTACTACCATGAAGCTCCCATTTAGGCTTTGCGGCAGTCAGAAGGAGAATATTGGATGTAGAGAGTTCGGAGAGATGGATGAAGATAACCGGGAGCAGGATCATAGAAATGGAATTGAAAGTTCAAGCCCTGAGATTCAGTTGAAAATGCCTTTACCAAATAGTTCTATCATGGTTTCAGTTGATGAGTGGCAGACTTTGAGAGCAGGTGGGAATGAGATTGGGAAGTGGCTGCTGAACACGGATGGTCTTGAGTTTACCGATCAGATTGGGCCTAATTCGTTTAAGGGGGTTTACAAGGGGAAAAGGGTGGGAGTTGAGAGGCTGAAGGGGTGCGACAAGGGGACTGCAGCTGACTTTGAGCTTAGGGAAGATTTATTGGAGTTGATGACATGTGGGCACAAGAAAATTTTGCAATTTTATGGCGTTTGTATTCATGAAAATCATGGCTTATGTGTTGTGACTAGACTAATGGAAGGTGGATCAGTTCATGATTTGATTCTGAAGAAAAAGAGACTTCAAATTAAAGAACTTATTAGGATTGCTGCTGATGTAGGGGAAGCAATCAAGTTTATGAATGATCATGGTGTAGCATATAGAGACCTTAATACACAAAGGATTCTGATTGATAAACAGGGAAATGCTTGCTTGGGAGACATGGGAATAGTTACAGTTTGCAGGAGTGGTGGTGAACCTATGGAGTATGAAACTGATGGCTATAGGTGGCTAGCTCCTGAGGTTGGTTGATCACATCCTCTATCCATGTCACTTAAATTTTACTCCTTTGTTCATTCGCAGAGTAGATGATTCAATCTCTCATCTCATGTAGCATTTTTTGGCTAATTGAATTTGTACGAGATGAAGATCTCCTACAAATTATGGTTTTTGGACTTCTGTATTATCATTAGATATATGTAAAATTAAAGGATAGGAGTATAATAATGGTGCATTTACAATAATTTAGAGTTTTGTTGGATGTGCTTCTCATGATATGCTGTTTCTTCGATATTTTATGCCAATAATTAGGAGCATCATCGTGAGCATGCGTAACTTGTCTTCATAATTATTTTGCTTCACACCTAAAAATTATTCTTTGCCTTTATAGCTTTACCTTGGACAGGATATCTATAGTGCTCTACTGAGAACAAAAAGGTTTCTTTAATCTAGCTTTATTTCCACTTTCATTAGTTGTGGAGGCTGTGTGGTTGGCCAAAAGCTTCCTTGGCTCCTTATAGTCATAGTATTGGATGCTTTTCATCCACATTAACCTTCTACAAATGAATGTTATCCCTTATTATTGGGAGGGAGAAAAGGAATGTTATACCCAGAAGTTCTCATTTTTTCTGTATTCAACTATTGAAGGATTTATATCACGTGATGGTTTTAAATTGAAGTAAACTTTGCTGAAGTTGTCTGCCACTCTTCCTTGATATGGACTTTACCAAGGAAAATTGCACAAAGAGAAGACAAAAATGACCAAACCTAGTAATCATAAACAAACTTTTATTAGTTCTTTACCCCACACCAAACCTTGATGGATTAGAAAGGCTTTCATTTTCAGTGATTTTATATGTGATGCAAATACGAAAGTCAATTAAAGATTATGATGTTTGCTAACATTATGTTTTTTTTTCCTTTTTTTTTTTTTTTGGTTGTCATGATAGATCATTGCAGGTGACCCTGAGTGTGTTAGTGAGACATGGATGAGTAATGTGTATAGCTTTGGCATGGTTATATGGGAAATGGTTAGTGGTGAGATGGCATATTCCGCTTATTCACCGGTTCAAGCTGCTGTTGGAATAGCTGCCTGTGGGCTTAGACCTGATATCCCAAAAGACTGCCCCCCAATCCTACGCACTCTGATGACCAAGTGTTGGAACAATTGCCCTTCCAAGCGTCCTCATTTCTCTGAAATTTTATCAACATTATTAATTCATGCATCATGTTAACGACTGTGATAACAATTAATGTTCTTCATCAAAAAATGATATAGCCATCCTAATGTACTTGCTTGTACAAGATATCTTACAGGAGTATATGCTGAGATGCCTGATAGATATACTAGAGAAATCGCATTTTAGGCTCCGATTATTAGAAGTTATTAATATAGAACTCGAATACTCATGTTGGACGCTTCATTTTAGGA